TTGTGGCTATTGTGAATGGTGTTGTTTCTCTAATTTCTTTCTCAGCCCTTTTGTCTTTTGTATACAGGAGTGCTACTGATTTTTTTGAGTTAATTTTGTATCCAGCCACTTTGCTGAAGGTGTTTATCAGCTGTAGGAGTTCCCTGGTAGAGTTTTTGGGGTCACTCATATATACTATCATATCATCTGCAAATAGTGATAATTTGACTTCTTCTTTTCCCATCTGTATCCCCTTGATCTCCTTCGACTGTCTTATTGCTCTAGCAAGGACTTCCAGCACTATGTTGAAGAGATATGGAGACAGTGGGCAGCCTTGTCTTGTCCCTGATTTCAGTGGGATTGCTTTAAGTTTCTCTCTGTTCAGTTTGATGTTGGCTATAGGCTTGCTGTATATCGCCTTTACTATGTTTAGATATGTGCCTTGTATCCCTGATCTCTCCAGTACTTTAAACATGATTGGATGTTGGATTTTGTCAAATGCTTTTTCAGCATCTAGGGAGATTATCATGTGGTTTTTTTCTTTCAGTTTGTTAATATGGTGGATCACATTGATGGATTTCCGTATATTGAACCACCCCTGCATACCTGGGATGAAGCCTACTTGGTCATAGTGGATAATATCTTTGATGTGTTCTTGGATCCGGTTTGCAAGTATTTTGTTAAGTATTTTTGCATCAATGTTCATAAGGGAGATTGGCCTGAAATTTTCTTTCTTTGTTGAGTCTTTGTGAGGTTTAGGTACCAAGGTGATTGTGGCTTCATAGAATGAATTTGGTAATGTTCCTTCTGTTTCTATTTTGTGGAATAGTTTGAAGAGAATTGGAGTTAGCTCTTCTTTGAAGGTCTGGTAGAATTCTGCGCTGAAGCCATCTGGTCCTGGGCTTTTTTTGGATGGGAGACTTTTGATGACTGCTTCTATTTCTTTGGGGGATATAGGACTATTTAGTTGATTTACCTAGTCCTGATTCAGCTTTGGTGAGTCAAATCGATCAAGAATATTGTCCATTTAATTTAGATTTTCAAATTTTGTGGCATATAGACTTTTGAAGTAAGTCCTAATGATTGTTTGGATTTCCTCAGTGTCTGTAGTTATGTCCCCCCTTTCATTTCTGATTTTGTTGATTTGGGTGGTGTCTCTCTGCCTTTTAGTTAGCTTGGCTAAGGGTTTGTCTATCTTGTTGATTTTCTCAAAGAACCAGCTCTTGGTTTCATTGATTCTTTGAATTGTTTTATTTGTTTCTAATTGATTGATTTCAGCCCTGAGTTTGATTATTTCCAGCCGTCTACTCCTTTTTGGTGTGTCTGCTTCTTCTTTTTCTAGGGTTTTTAAGTGGGCCATTAAGTTGCTTGAATGAGCTGTCTCGAATTTCTTCTTGAAGGCACTTAGTGCTATGAACTTTCCTCTTAGCACTGCTTTCATTGTGTCCCACAAGTTAGGGTATGTTGTGTCTTCATTTTCATTGAGTTCTAGAAAGGCTTTAATTTCTTTCTTTATTTCTTCCCTGACCCAGCTGTCATTTAGTAACAAGTTGTTCAGTTTCCATGTGTGTGTAGGCTTTTTGCTATTTCTGTTGTTGTTGAAGTCCAGCTTTATTCCATGGTGATCAGACAGGATACAAGGGATTATTTCAGTCTTCTTGTATCTGTTGAGGCTTGCTTTGTGACCAACTATATGGTCTATTTTGGAGAAGGTTCCATGAGGTGCTGAGAAGAAGGTAAATTCTTTTGTGTTTGGGTGTAAAGTTCTGTAGATGTCTGTGAGGTCCATTTGATTCATGACCTCTGTCAGAGATATTGTTTCTTTGTTTAATTTCTGTTTTGTTGACCTGTCCTTTGTTGAGAGTGGGGTGTTGAAGTCTCCCACTATTAATGTGTGTGGATCTATATGTGGTTTAAATTTTATCAATGTTTCTTTTACAAATGTGGGTGCTCTTGTATTTGGGGCATAGATGTTCAGGATTGTGATGTCTTCCTGGTGGAATTTTCCCTTGATGAGTATGAAGTTTCCTTCCTCATCTCTTTTTATTATTTTTGGTTGAAAGTCTATTTTATCAGATATTAGAATGGCTACTCCTGCTTGTTTCTTGGGTCCATTTTCTTGGAAAGTCATCTTCCAACCTTTTACCCTCAGGTAATGTCTATCTTTGTGTCTTAGGTGTGTTTCTTGTATGCAACAGATTGCTGGGTTTTGTTTACGTATCCATTCTGTTCATCTGTGTCTTTTTACTGGAGAGTTGAGTCCATTGATGTTGAGAGAGATTAATGACCAGTGGCTGTTAGATCCTTTGATTTTGATGTTGGCTGTGTTCATAAGTTTGTGTGCTTGGTTGCTTTTTGTTTTGCTGTAGTAAGGTTAATTATTTCCTGTGTTTTCTTGACAGAAGCTAATTTTCTTGGGTTGTATTTTCCCTTCCAGTGTCTTCTGTAATGCTGGATTTGTGTGTAGGTATTGTTGAAATTTGTTTTTGTCATTGAATATCTTGTTTTCTCCGTCTATGAGGACTGAGAGTTTTGCAGGGTATAGTAACCTGGGTTGACATCTGTGTTCTCTTAGGGTCTGCATGATATCTGTCCAGGCCCTTCTGGCTTTCATAGTTTCTGTTGAAAAGTCAGGTGTGATTCTAATGGGTTTGCCATTATATGTTACTTGGCCTTTTTCCCTTGCAGCTTTTAGTATTTTTTCTTTGTTCTGTATACTTCCTGTTTTGATTATTATGTGGTGGGAGGATTTTCTTTTCTGGTCAAATTTGTTGGGTGTTCTGTAGGCCTCATGTATCCTTATTGGCTTCTCCTTTAACTTGGGGAAATTTTCTTCAATGATTTTGTTGAAAATATTTTCTGGGCCTTGGAGAAGGGAGTCTTCTTTTTCCTCTATTCCTATTATTCTTAGGTTTTGTCTTTTCATATTGTCTTGGATTTCTTGGATGGTCTGTGTCAGGAATATTTTGTATTTAACATTTTCTTTGACAGATACATCGATTTCTTCCATTGTATCTTCTACACCTGAGATTCTTTCTTCCATTTCTTGTATTCTGTTGGTTATGCTTACCTCTGTAGTTCCTGTTTTCTTCCCTAAATTCTTCCTCTCCATTATTTCCTCCATTTGTGTTTTCTTTAATTTTTCTAGTTCTATCTTCAGGTCTTGAGTTGTTTTATTTACTTCCTTCACCTGTCTGCTTGTATTTTCCTCTTTTTCTTTTAGTTCCTTCAACTCTGTCTCTTTGATTTCTTTCAGTGATTTAATTATTTCTTCTCTGAAGGCCACAAGCTGTTTGGCTGCATCTTCCCGTATTTCTTCACGGATGGCCCTAATTTGCTTGTCTTTATCTTCCTCCATTTCTTTACGGATAGCCATGATCTGTTTGGTTTTATCTTCCTCTAATTCTTTACGTATTTTATCTGTTTCCTCTATTATTCTCTTCATCAACATAGATGTAAGGTCATCTTCTTGATTTTCTATTATGCTGCATTGTTCATGGCTGTTCGCCCCTGGATGGCTGGGTTCTGGAGATGCCATATTGCTCTGTCTTTTGTTGGTTGAGCCTTTACGCTGACCTCTACCCATTGGGCTGATTTAGGTTTTGGCTGTTAGTTTCTGTGCTTCCTGGAGTCCTGAGGTAGGGAGTATCCCCTTGGCCGGAAGATGATTTTTCCTGAAGGAGTCCTTCTCTGCTTTTTGGTTATGGTCACTGTATGGCCAGTGTTTCTCCGGGGATGCCACTGCTCACCTCAGGTTTATAGCCCTGAGTAGTAGCTGTGGTCTATGTTAGGCAGGGGGGGATCTCCTCTTACCCATAAAATTTCTCAAGACAGCTGCCCCACTGCTGGGTTTCTTGTTATAAATTTAGTGTGCTGCTGCTCACTAAGTTTCCATGTACAGTCCTCTTGAAGAAACTGCCTATTCCCTAGCTATGGGGTTTTCTCCCAACAGGGAAACTCAGTCTGTTATCCTGGGGCGCACAGTTCTGTCTGAGAAAGTGGGAGGTGCACTCAGCAAGTCTCTGGGCCAAAGGCTGATTGCTCTGCTCTGGACCTGGAGAATGTGCACCTAGGTTGAGTTGGCGCCTGGGGGCACTGTTCTGGTCTGGAGGCTGGGTACCTCACTCTGGACCAGAAGCTGTGTGTCTCTGTCTGGGATGGCGGCTGTAGGCACCACTCTGGTCCAGACGCTGTGGGTGCAGCCCCCCTGAAAGATCAGGGATTCCTACAGTTTTGGCAGTCCAGCCAGGGACAACTGGCCGATCCCTGGCACAGTATCTGAGGGCTGCTGTAATGGCTCTTTGGCTCCTGCAGGTCCGAGGATGCAGCTGTGTGTCCCAGTGCCCCAGGGGAACGCAACAATGGCGGCAGAGCACAGCGCTTCTGCCTGCACTAGAGTCTGCGTGAGTCCAGGAAGTATTTTGGTGCTGGGTGTCCTAAGCGTTAGAGCTGCTGACCCCCTCCGCTGGGGGTTTCCTCCTGCCAGAGACACGCAGTCTGGTGCCCTGTTGCCCTGGTGCCCACAGTTCTATCTGAGGCGGCGAATCACGCGCGCAGGCAGGGCTCTGTGCAGGCGCCTTTGTCCCTCCCGGCTCTGGGTCTGGGCTGGCTCCTGGGGCACCCGCGGAACCCGAGTCTTTTCCAGGGGATGTCTGGGTAACCTGGGGTCGGTCCCAATTGTTTCCTGCTCCGTGGGGTTATCTCTCGACTGGGAAATCCAGTCTATGGTGTTGTGGGCCCACAGTTCAGTCTGGGACCGTGACCAGATCGCGCTGGCGTGTAGCTCTGGGCTGGCGACCAAGCGCCTGGCGGAACGGGGATCTCTTCCGCGGTTTAGTTAAAGCTGATCGAATCCCCCACCGTGGGGTATCCTCTCACCTGAGAAACACAACCACTTGTGTTTTATGGCCGCGAGTTCTGATTGCTGGTCACTGTGCCAATCCTGCTGTGCTGCTCCTCAGAATGAGAGTCCTCCCGGCGCTGCCATCTTGCCCCGCCTCTTAATTAAGAATTTTTATTAGCCCCCCTGGCGACGGACAAAAAGACACCCTTCGGTGTTGGTGTTTTTGTATCAGTCAGGGGCAGAGCAGATGGTAACTCCTTTGTTCATCCTAGCTTGATGCCGGGCTTAGTGGCTAAAGCTGTTTTATGCCTAGGACACATAAAAATCCAATCAAATTAAATCCAGGCAGCGCAATGCAGCAGGAGGAAGACAGAGACTTGCCCTCTGCCTTGCCTCGCTGTGCAGGTAGGGAGAGAAGCACGAGTTGGCGGAGGATGACCGAGACCTGCAGACCTCCCCACAGACTTGGCCTCCGGAGCTTGGCAGAGCTGAGCTGTAGTCACTCGCTGGCCACCATGACACACAGCAGCATGGAGTCTGGGAGGATGTCACCCAGGGGCCCACCAGCTGCGTCACGTGGCCAGCCTGCAGCAGGAATCACCACAATGTACCAGGTATGTGGTGGACAGGTGGGAGAGAAAGAGATGTAGAACAGCTTGAGCGTTATGAAAAGAGATGGAATTGGAGACTCCAGGGTGAAGAGAAGTAGCCTGTTGTGAGTGGCCAGCCCCATCACCTCCAGCCATGATGAGGTCCCAGCCCAAGCTGCTTCTGAGGGCCGTGTGTGGGTTCATGGCTGCTCAGCAGCAAAGGTTGGTGTCGGTGTCCATGACTCATATTACTACTGAAGAACTGAGATGTCCCTGGTCGGGGCAGCCACCAAGGTCCACATGGATGTCTAGAGGCTGTGTAAAACTGGCCTCCCACCCCATCCTGGCTGCTGTGTTCTGGAAAGCTGGCCCCACCTCTCACCTGAAGCAGCAGAGTGGAGCTGGCCCTTGGAGCTGGGGTGTGGATGAGCCAGCCCCAAGGGTGTGAGTGTGAGAAAGATGACTCCCCCCCTTGTCTGCCTTAGGGTGGCCCAAACGCAGAGATGATGCCCTACCCAGTCCCCAACCGCTTCAGCAGTCACGAAAGCTGCCCACAGGGATATGAGAAAGGATAACTGGGCCTCTTCCCTCGTCAGCTGCGGCTCTCAGGAGAGTGATCAACTGTTAGTGGAGCTGGTCCTGGTGGAGGAGGCTCACGTGAGCCAATCCTTCCCGCTTGCCACCCCTGCCCTTCACTGGCTGTAGCACTCAGGAGAACAGGGCCTGCGCCTCGTGTGGGCCACACAGTGGAGCTGGTCCTTATGGCAAAAGGATGAGTGAGCCAGACCCGAGGTCATGAGCCTGACCCGAGGTCAGGCTACAGGAGAATCGACTTGGGAGAGTGCACCCTGCGTCTTGACTGGGTGCGCATGGTGAGTGGGTGCCGAGGGCATGGGAGCATGAGAGCCAGAGAGCTGAAACTGCCTCCTGCCAACGCCAACACTGGATGACCTAGCCTGGGCTGTGCTGGAGAGTTTGCCCTGGTGGTGCAGATAAAGGCGAGCAGATGCACTGACCAGCTCAGCTACAGCCAGGGCCAGATCCTCCACGGCTCTGAGTTAGCCCACCCCCAAATCTGTATCATGTCTGAATGGTTGGGACTCATGAAAGGTCCAAGTCTGCAGGATCTCCATTGACACAGGGCAACAAAAGGATAACTTGGAGGATTCAATACTGATGGTGTCACAGAAGCCAGAGACCTCAAACCAGACTCATTGCAATGAACTTCTATTTGCAAGTGAAGATATATGGACAGAAGGGTATACTGTGGGATACACTGTGACTACTATACCTTCCACAAAGAGAAGTTTTTCTATGCTTTGTTTTTGTTTGTTTGTGTGTGTGTGTTTTGCTTTTGTTTTTGGTTCTCTTACTGTGTGAGTATGTGTGTTTTATTGGGGGGAGGAGATTGCAAGAGCAAAGGGCAGATATGAGGAGACAGGGAGATGAGCAGGACTAGGGAAACTATGTGAAACTCAAAAAGAATCAACAAACAGTTTTTACAAAAAAAAGTTCATTGGTTTCTGGTGTAGTGGTACATGTCTTTAATATATAAGCACTTAGCCATTAGGATCTGAGGAAGCCACAGAGCAGGGAATTCTGCTGACCTCTCCTGCCCATCTCCTTTCAAGCAGTGCATCTTTGATCACCTCCCACTTAGAGGGGAGCAGCTCGACCAGGCCACAGAGGAAGACTATGAAAGATAGTCCTGATGAGACCTGATAGGCTATGGTCAGAAGGAAGGGGAGGAGGATCTCCCCTATCAGTGGACTGGGGAAGGGGCATGGGAGGAGATGAGGGAAGGAGGGAGGATGGATTGGGAGGGGATAAGAGTAGGGCTACAGCTGAAATACAAAGTGAATAAATGGTAATAAATAAAAATTATATTAAAAAAGAAAAAAAAGGATATTATCTCTGACTTTCTGAACAGGCTCTTAGACCCTTACATGAAAAGTAAAAACCCTATTTATTATTCCTGGAGGACAAAACTAGCCTTATCCTTGCAAACAAAGAGACCTAAAGAATCCAAATGAACAGGCCTTGGTAAATTTACCGCTGCTCTATGTCAGTACCCCAGACCTCACCTGCCCATTTATTACTCCTCTGACACTGTTCATAGCTCATCAGAAATAAACATGAAACTACACTGGTTTAGCTGGTTCTTTAAACCTTCATTTATGAAGGTACCTGCTACCATTTTTCCTTCTTAATCTTTTTCATTCATAAATTTGTATTAGTTACTTTTTATAGCTGTGACAAAATACCATGGCCAAGGCAACTTTCAGAAGAAAGGGTTTATTTAGGGTTACAGTTCCAGAAGGAAAAGAGTCCCTCACCATCATGGTAGGGAAGCATGTTGGCTAGAGAAGAAAACTTAGAGCCCACATCATGAATTACAAGCACAAAACAAATAGTGAATTAGGAATGGCGCCAGGCTTTTAAACATCAAAGCCCACCCCCAGTGATATACTTACTCCAGCAAAGCCACACCTCCCAACCCTACCTAAATGACACCAGCAACCAAGGACCAGGATGCAAGCATCTGAGCCTGTTGGGAACATGCTCACTCAAACCACACCGGGCATGCAAATAAATGTCAGAGGGTATTGTGTAGGAATCTGTTCTCTCCTTCAGCTTCTGGAGATAGAACTGAAGTAGTTAAGAGTTGGCAGAAAGCACTTTCACCCACTGGGATATTTTGACTTTGTTCCTTTTGCTCTTGTGTAAATATTATTTAAGCACTCAAAAGTCTACTGTGAGGATATTGCTAATTAGTTATTCAAAAAGGCACTTCATCTGTGACACTATGAAGAAAACCAGTGGAAAAAACAACTTCACACAATCTGTGTAGGGGCTTCTAAAGGACATGTAAGACTCATTGTCTTTAGGAGAAGCCTCTAGAATTCTCCCACTCTAACTGCCTCCAAAAGTCAGTCTTAAAACAAATCCTTTCTTTTAACAAAGGCCAGGTAACAAACATGCTCCCAAACCTTCAGAGAAGTACTAATCTTACAAACTCTAAGAGTAGACAGACCATGAGAAATGTTTTTCTGGCATTTTGATTTTTATTCTGCTTAAAGAGTTAGGTGCTTCCATTTCAAAGATCTCAGTATTCCTTTGGGCTTTCTTAGTCTTAACTAGCCTTTCCAGAAAGGAAAACAAAAGACGCCTAGAGTGAATACTTTGAGAATTCATAAGCAATTTCCAGTTCTGTATGTGACAGCCACTCAAATCCACCCACACCAGTCCAAATCATGTCCACATGTGGATCTTCATGTCTCAGGAAGCCATGAGGACTGTTTGAGTATAGTGGGGAATAGAGTTTGGCTAAAACCTCTTCTTAAATTTAGTATCTGTGTTACAATTTTCATCTGGAATCAACTCCAAAGATTCAGGATTGAATTTCAAAGATGAGATTTGAGTAAACAAGACTGGACACGGAGATATTACTCTATCCGTCCCATAAGCCAGAACCAATCGAAACCCCACAGCAGTCCTGCTGTTCAATATAGCTTTCACACTGACCCCAAACTTAACCAATTAGACTTAATTCAAGTTCAAACTATTCCCTGTCTGCTCTCCTCCACCCTGGTCAGAAACCTACAACAGGACTTTTATACCATAAATTAAGAAATACATTTACTCAATAGAAGAGAACAAAAAAATTAACATTTCCTAAATGAAATATATTCAAATAAGATGAGTCCGACCAAGTTTTATCATCTTTTGGTTTAATAAGAATATGAAACAGAATATTCAGTAAGTTGTGCTAAATGTCTGCATTACTAATGAACAGCAATACTTCACTGGCAATGACTGAGATATGTTGGCATACTCCAGTGCATTTTAGCACATGTGATTCTTTACAGTTGAGGGAAAAGAAGCAGTATCCAGGGAGAGGATGTCCTTTGCAAGGGATGTGTTGTTAATATATACTATAACTCCATTTTCACAGTCAAAATATTTCTTAAATGGTAACGTCTTATAATTAGTTTGTATGTTTTTAGCTATTATGTTTTATGTAGCTTTTTAGTATGTTAATAGGCTTCTACATGAATGTTATGGAAATTAAATTAATCTACTATTATGCCCCCTTAAATAAAATCCAACATGATCATTTAAAAAGCCTGGGTGATGGACTACACTTGGGGAGACTGCAGAATGAAGACATTATGGCACACAAAGCCACAGAAATAATTCAAAGCACCTCTGCAGCACACTTCCCTTCTCCGCCATTTGAAATATACTAATTCCATACTCTGAGGGAGACAGGACCAAACCACACGCGTCACACCTTGCCAGAAAACAGCTCTGCAACGTGTCTGTTTGCAGTTACCTGTCAGCTGCCTCTGTGGGTGGCACGCACCAGGTTTGCTAGGAGAAAGCTGGACCTTCCGAAGCTTCTCAAGACTTCTTGGCTCCTCAGGAGACCACTTCCTCTCTTTGCCCTGATCTATTCAGGGGTGAAACACTGGGATAAGGCAAGATTGAGGGTTGTGTGTGTGTGAAACGGGGAGAGTTCTTGAAAATACACTCTCAGGAAAAAGGAGAAAGCCTATCAGTCCCAACAGCTGCAACCCTGCACACGCTGTTCATCTGAGTTTGAAATAGAAAAGAAGAGCAGGAAGAGGAAGTGAAAGGAAGGGGTGAAAAAAAGGGAGGAAGGAGAAGGAACAGGGATGTGTAAGAAGAAAACTTCAAAGTTTGTCTGCCTAGAAGTTCACAAAATAAG